TTGTGCCGCTCGCTCCCGGGTGTGCGCAAGGCGCAGAGCATCCAAATTGACACCATATGTTTTCCTATTAGATGCTTCGTGGTCGAATTCTAGGCGCATAATCATCGCTACTGGGCAAGAGCGCCCGCCGTCCCTAGGGAAGGGACACAATGATTGAGGCTTAACCTCTGACGGGGAACTTAGCCGCGCTTCCTCGCTGCCATTTCGATGCTGGCAGAGGCGACCTGGCCCTGGTGTGTCCCGGGCGAGCACCAGCCCTGGGTCCCTGCGGAGGTGTCGGTTGGGATTCGCCTGGCCGTGCCTGAAGTTTGGGAAGCCTTTCTTGGTCTCTCTAGGACAGCACTTCTCTTTCTGGGAAGGGTTCCTTTGTCCAAAGGGGAAGCCCTGTGGTTAGAGGGTAGCTGGGTCCTGCCCAGCAAAGGAAGGATACTTGGGAGAGAGACGGGAAGCGCGGACTAGGCCTCGATCTGTTGGAAAAGTGATGTCCCCGAGACGTCCCCACTCATGCTGCGTCCAGACAGAGCCCAGGTCCCCCAAACGCTTGTCACTTCTCATCAGCTTAGGCTCCGGCCCCCCTCTCCGTGAGGGCCCCCCTCCGCCCCAAGCCTTTGCTACCCTGGACACGCGGCTCCCCTCGAAGGGGAAACGAGTGCAGCTCCATCTCGTCTGAGTGATCTACAAATAGGGACGGAAAGGGTCGTTTTATCATGGTCCCGTTTGTCGTGACGATGCAATTTCCCGGAGCGGAGCACTGTCACAAAGTGACAAGGCTGCCACAAGCGCCCCGACTGATCTTTTCAATTAGCCTTCCATGCATGATCCGGAGCGACTTCCGCCTATTTCCAGAAATTAAGCTCAAACTTGACGTGCAGCTAGTTTTATTTTAAAGACAAATGTCAGAGAGGCTCATCATATTTTCCCCCCTCTTCTATATTTGGAGCTTATTTATTCCTAAGAAGCTCAGGCTCCTGGAGTCAATTTATCAGAGACTCCAAGGAGAAGAGAGGAGAGGAGAGGAGAGCTGAGCAGGGAGCCACATCTCCTGGAAGGGCTGCTCTCCAGAGTCCGGGCTGCAGGTTGGAGATTTGTACGGAAGTGGGAATTGTCCATTGGCTTTATTTGTGTGCCTGTGGTTTCTAGGGAGGAGGCTACAGAGAAGTGCTAACTTCCTAGCCCTGTTCTCTAAGATGAGACAATGGGTGAGGAGGCTGTGAGATAACAAGATAAAGGACAGATGTGTGTGTGTGGGGAGGGGGGGGGACTGTGGTGTGGTCTCTTCCTTTTCCTTTCGCTTTTTGATTTTTGCTAATATCTGTCCTTGGCTGTGGGGAGAGCTGAGAACAGCAGCGGAAGTAAATCGAGCTGTGGCCACTGTGAGCAGACGCCCAGCTCTGGCTCCGCTGCCGCAGCCGGACTACTTTGGGGTTGGAGCAGATCTGGCGCTCTGACCCTCATGCCTACGGTAGAGGCGCTGAAACCCAGGTTAGGTTCACTCGCCACAGATCTGCTGTTCTGGTGCTTCTCTTCTCCTTCCCCTTCTCTTCTCCCATCTACGTAGTATTTTTTAACCGGGGTGTTTGTGCGGTGCCTTCGCCAGAGTTTGGAGTGTGACAGCAAACATTTCTGGACTCAGGCCTCCGTGGAAGCGCTGTAAGGCTGTGGGATTTGCTCTTACAGTTCCCACAATGCGGAGAGCTTGGAGGTTCCGTGTCGGTTCTGTGGAACCACCGTTTGCCACAACTCAGAAGGGATCTTTGGGAAGATATTTTTAGAGCTGATTGTTTGCATCTCGTGGGTTCAGAGGTTGGTTGGGGTGTTTATGAAGAGGGGCATGGTCTGGGGACACTGCTGGGGTGGTGCCAGCGTGAGGTGAGTGTGTTCTTGCTCTTTGGCAGGTGTCTGCCTGTCTGGTGCTTCTGCAGTCCGGTGGGCAAGAGTACGGCTGTGTTTGGGGCTGGGCTGCCCGATGCCCTGCATGGCTGCATGGTCCTGTTGTCATTTTTGATCGATTGCAGGGGCCTGATCACCAAGGTTGGCAGGAGTTGGCAGGGAGCTGAGAATGCATTTGGTTGTTTTCTCCTCCTCCTCTTCCTCTTTACTCTTCCTCCTCTCTTCTCTCTTTTCTCCTCTCTTCTCCTCTGCTCTCCCCTCTTTTCCTCTCTTCTCCTCTGCCTTTCCTTAGGTCACAGCGGAGTGAATCAGCTCGGTGGTGTCTTTGTCAACGGGCGGCCACTGCCAGACTCCACCCGGCAGAAGATCGTAGAGCTAGCGCACAGCGGGGCCCGGCCGTGCGACATTTCCCGAATTCTGCAGGTGATCCTCCTGGCGTGCCCCACTCGCCGCCCCTGCGGCCCTCCACTTGCAAGGCCCTCTCTTCACTTCTTACTGCAAACGCTGCTAATTATGGACCCCCCCTCCTACACCCCCCTAGTCCTTACGCCACTCCCCTGTCTTCCTGATTTCCCCTCTCCTTCCACCATCCTTTCCCATCTCTTTCAACCTGGGTCAGTCACATAACTCATCTAAAAAGAAAAAAAAAAAGAGTGTGTGAATTAAAAGAAAAAAACCTTTCTCTTTTCACTTGGTAAAAAAACATTTGTTTTTAAATGTACTATAGTTTATGTACTAGAATAAGCTGAGTTTTACAAAACCGGCATCATTTCATTTCCTTCTCTCTCATCCCATGTTTACCTCAGATTTTGAGTTACTGGTTTGCATATGATAAACTAAGGAAGAATATCTATCTATATTTATTTAAAAAGACAAGTGCTATTTACCTCCCTCCATAACTCACATGTACTCAATTGGGTATATTTTTAAAGGAAAAATAAGTTTAAATTCAGTTTACTTCCCCCTTTTGCTCATTAAAACATAACACCACTTTAAACAAGGTCAGCACACACACACACAAATCTGACTTCGTTTTGATGCATCTTCTGGCAGTGTTTAAGAAAACAGTTTTTTAAAAATTTAAATTAGTTTTTTTTTAGTTCAAACTGTTTAAAAGTATCATCATATTTGTAGTTTTCAGGGCTACAAATGTAATTTTAAGAAAAAAAGCTCTCTACAGTAAGTTCTCGTACCATTGAAGGTATATTTTTGTGTTATAGACCCATGCAGATGCAAAAGTCCAAGTGCTGGACAATCAAAACGTAAGCTTGTCATTGTTTAATGCATACTTAAACAATTTTATTTTTGTCTTGAAATTATTAATAATGTGGTTTTCTGTCCACTTCCCCTATGCAGGTGTCCAACGGATGTGTGAGTAAAATTCTGGGCAGGTATTACGAGACTGGCTCCATCAGACCCAGGGCAATCGGTGGTAGTAAACCAAGAGTAGCGACTCCAGAAGTTGTAAGCAAAATAGCCCAGTATAAGCGGGAGTGTCCGTCCATCTTTGCTTGGGAAATCCGAGACAGATTACTGTCGGAGGGGGTCTGTACCAACGATAATATACCAAGTGTAAGTTCACTGAGAACACCCCCCTCCCTGCCCTAAGCTCCATTCTCTTTCCTCTTTGCCATATCTTTCTTCACCTCCTTCTGCTCTCCTCCCCACCAGTGTCTGTCTCTTATCTCCTCTCTGCTCTACCTCCCTGCTCTCTGTACCTGGGGCTGTTGAGAGGAGCATCCCGACCTTTTCTTGACTTTCTTGGAAAATGGGTGTCAAGTGTGGGAAGTTGGTCACCTCATTTGCATGCTGCATAGTAGAGGGAGGAGGCACTTGAGTCAAGAAGGAAAATGAAAATGAAAACCAGATTCTTACTTCCTCCCAATCCACCTGCCTGAACGTTCCTTCAGGCGTCAAACAGCCACTTCTGCGCTAATATACAACTAAGTGCAACAAAGCTCTAAATAAGTCTAAACATTTTTGGAAATCGTTAACAAAGTAAGGCAGCCATGTGATAGGTCTCCAGAGAACCCCTCATCCACCAGTTCTGACCCAACTTAGTTTCCATGCCCAAACTGATGGCTGTCATTCTGTCCATCATTTCCTACATGTCCTATGATGGTTGGGAGTTGTTTTTTCTAAATGTGTTAAGGGTTGCTCTTTAAGGGGGTGGTTGTGTTGAGATGGGGATTTAAGACAGAGCGGCCTTGTTTTTAGGAGACACTGCCATTTGGTTTGATTTTGGTTTGATTTGCAGGTGTCATCAATAAACAGAGTTCTTCGCAACCTGGCTAGCGAAAAGCAACAGATGGGCGCAGACGGCATGTATGATAAACTAAGGATGTTGAATGGGCAGACCGGAAGCTGGGGCACCCGCCCTGGTTGGTATCCAGGGACTTCAGTGCCAGGGCAACCTACCCAAGGTAAAAACCCGAGCAACCACCTAAACTCTCTGTATATGCAGCCCATAGTCTTCTCCCCAACCTTTCCCTCTCCGGGCCTCTGTGCTTAGAGGATGCAGTGGGGTGACTCTTCAAAGGCTTGGGACACATTGGCTTGCATTGTATGTAGCTGGTACTTATTGAACTCTCTGGTTGGCCTGGGAATGGAAGGGCTATGTCAGGAGTAATATGCATGTGGCTGGTGTGTGTACATGTGTGTTATGGGCAGGAGTAAGTGCGTGCGTGTGTGTGTGTGTGTGTGTGTGTGTTTGTGTGTGTGTGTAAGAGCTTCGAGGTACCTTATTCAAATTTGCCATTCAAATGCATAGAAAGTCCCTTTGCTGTAGAAGTGAGACAGGTTAGCACTGCCAGAGTGTGAGGTAAACATAATTGTATCGTTTTGCTTTCTGCCATAATTGACAAATTATGTGACTATGAGTAGGGTTCAAATGAGAGACGGGTGAGCAGAGAGATGCATGGTCGAGTGGAGAATGGGGCACTGGAAGTGGTGGTCTCCCAACTAAAACACCCCCACACTCTCTCCAACCTTCTGGGCCCCCAGTTCTCACTCTCCGTAGGAGGCGACTGCTTAGAAGGCTGGAGTGACAATAGTGTGAGCCAGACTTGGGGTGCCCAGGTCTGGGAGAAGAGATGGGATCTGGATCATTCCAGGATGTGTGAGAAGGGATGAAGGAAGAGGAGCAGATAGGGATGGGGGGAGGCCCGTTGGCTCTCTCCTTCCCTCCACACACCGAGGTAGCTTGGTCAAGAATAGGAAACAGTTTACTGGGAAGATTAATTGGTATTTGTTGTCCTGGTGACAAGGAGATAATATGCGAGATAATGGGACGTGGCAGTCTCACTCCCCGGAGCACGACGCAGCCTGGGGGCTTCTGGGCGCAGGACGCTGACGGGACTGCCCGCGACCGTGCGCTCTAAAGAGGGCTTTGGGTGCCCCGCGCCTCCACGGGGCCGGACTAGAGAAGGGAAAATCGGTAACAGTATGCGAAATAACTGGTACAAAGGATGCTTCTGTCACTCCCAAGAATTTGTTATGGGAACAATCCTGTCGCTCTGTAATTGCTCATTAGAGAACGTTTTGTTTCTCATTAAGGCGACATGAATAAGCGTCTAGTTGAAGGAGACAGCTGTAGAAATGTTCCACAAGAGACCTCTGGACACGATTCGGCACCAATTGCCAATTAGACATGTCAGTTTTAAGAGCAGGAAACAATATAGGACGGACACTGGGAAGATAGGGAGCAGAGCGCTCGCTCCGGGTTCCCGGCGCGGCGCTCGGCCGGCCGATCGAAGCTTCCCGATGCGCTGAGCTGAGCGACCCGCCCGCGGGATCCCCGGATCGCCCCAACCTGCAGCCTCCCGGAGCTCAGCAGGCACACCTGAGGATTTGCCTCCAGCCGGGCTGCAGGCCCAGGCCCACCCAGGCCTCTGCTGAGGACGAGGGCTGACCTGGTTAAGTGGGGACCACCACACCCTCACTTGACCTTTGGAACTAGGAATCCCACGTGCACACAGTGGACACATTCAAGTGAAAGCGCACTTCACACTCCACAGCGCCTGCCGCCAGCTCCCCGGCAATCCCAGGCCTCAGGCCGCCCGGGCCCCAGAAGTCTGGGGGAGGGTGCGGGGCACAGTGGCTGAGCCTGGGAAAGCTGATCCCCAAGGCTCCGCGCTGGCCCCTCGGCTCCAGGGCTCCCGTAGCTTGGGGCCTACAGCAGGGACACCCCCTCCTGCTTCCTGGAGCCCCGACAGGAGCCGAGAACTGCAGCTTGGCTAGCCCCACCGCTTCGCTTAGAGGCAGCACTGCGTAGGGCAGCTTTCTGTCTCGGGGAGCGCGAGGGCGGGAAGCGATTGCCTAACCACAGGGCCCTGGCGGTGGCGACCGGGGCGGGAGGTGGCACTCCTTCAGGCACTTTGAACTTCGAGCAGTGAGTGGCTAGAGAAGTCAGCGAACCACTGCCAGTCCCCCTTCTGCTCCCGCACAAAACCCATTTCCGTGCCCCGGATCCGGGCACGGACCGCAGCTCCGGCTGCACCGGGAGCACCCCGAGCGTGGGAGTCCCGCGCGTGGGGGCCGCGGGGCGCTGGCGGAGAGCTTGGGCTGACGCCTGGGGGATCTTCAGACTTTTGGGCATTAACAAGGATGCCCTCCCGCACTGGCCCCCTTCCCTGGGCCAGGAAACCGTTTGGGGGCTTTTAAAGAGCCCTTTACCCCGAAAGCATAAGGCGAGGTTAAGTCTCAGAGGGAGACAAATATGGTTTCCATCTGATCAACGCCACGCGGCCGTGGATAAAATCGTGACGACGTGGGCTGACAAGAGATAACTCTATCCGGCCCCAATTCTCCAGCGATTTGGGTTTTAGGGATCCCCGAGACACTTTTTCTTATCTCCCCCCCCCACCCCCCCATACCCAGGCCCTCGATAGGATTTAGTCAGTCTCTTTTTCAACAGATGCTACAATGTTTTGATCCGGGCTCCCGAGCTGAAAAGGTGCCGCAACCGGGTTGCTATCTTTTCTTGCTTGTTTTCCGCCTCACTGATTAAGACACTAAGAAACTAAGGAATGATTTTATTTCCCAGCGTCCTTCCCCCCACCTCTCTTCTCCTTCCAGAAAACAAATCCTCTCCCCCGCGTCAGATGGTCCCGAGGCTGGGATAATGGGAGGCGCTTTCACTGGCCTTCTCACGGATTAGGCTGGAAGGTGGACGGCGCCCAGCCCATTGAAGGCGCCTTCCCTGCGCTCGGAGGGGGCGCCTTTTAAAGAAGATATCTTAATTGTTTGCCACTTAGGTTTATCATATGGGGAATTTGAGACCCCACTTCTAGTTTTATTTTGTGAAAAGCTTTAAGAGAGGAAGGTAAATCCACTAAAGAAAAATAAAGAAGGGGGGAGGGAGCAATCTAAGAGTGACCGCTCTGGCACCGCCTGACTAGAACAGTTGCTACTATGAAAGTAATAATAATAATTTAAAAAAAAAAGTGCTTCCAGGGGTGCAGGCTCGCTCCGCTCCGAGGAGAGTCACGGAGGGATGCCACAGCCACGGGTTTCTCCTGACCCGCTTCTAAGTCCACTGTCCCCCAAAGAAGTTTAAAATCCAGCTCTCCTCATCTCCATTGACTTTCCTTAAATGTCAGTTCTCAAGTCAGTTCTGTGCCTGCGTTTGTGCGAGGTTGTGTGAGTGTGTGGGGAGGTGGAGGGGGAGAGGGAAGGAGAAGGAAAGCATGGGCAAATGTCCATGTTTTAAAATTAGGAAGATGTCAGAGAAGCAAAGGAGAGCAGAGAATGCTATCTGTGAGGGTCTTCTGAGAGAGACCAGGAAGCTTTGTTTAATTGGCAAGATCGAATGTGCCAGAAAAAGGACTGGGATGGGGCCTCCTGGAAGGCATGACTGATCACCCCTGCGAGATGGGATTGTGGTCTCCTCAGGCCCTGCCCCTGACCAGTTTTTGTTTGTGTTTTCCTAAAGCAATACCCTAGGAGCCTGTCTAGTTGGCCCAAAAGGACTCTTGCTAAAGTCCTTCTCATTCACTGAACCCCCAAGTAAGGGCAGCTCTTCATTTCTTTCCCTGAAAAAAACAAAACAAAACCCACTTTGCTAAGTCCCTCGGAAACCTGGGGCAGTAAATTAGCGAAGACGTGCTGGCGTGGGCGAGTCTCCCCCCGTGCTAAGTAGCCCTCCTCACTCCCGCCTTCCTGAGACAGCACAAGACCACCCTAAGTAGTGCCTCCGCCTATTGACTAATATTGTCTTTCCCCCTTATCTTCCTTTTCCTTTTTCTCTCCTCTTCTCCTTCCACCTTCATATCTTTTTCCTCTGAGCACTCTTTTCTGTCTTTCTTACACCTTTCTTCCTCCATCTCCCTCCCCTCTTCCCTCTCCCCCACCAATCCAGCCCCATCTTCCCTCCCTGCTCCCACCCCTATCCCCCAACCCTGGTCTCTATCATCCCTGACTGTTGGCTCCCTGCGCCCCCCTCCACT